CCCCCTGAGTGCGCCGCTGCCGCTCCACTTCTCTCCCCTCCCTCCCAGGCTTGCTGCAAAACAGCTGATTCGCGCGGCAAGCCTGGGAGGGAGGAGGAAGAAGTGGAGCGGCGGCGGCAGGCTCAGGGGAGCAGGCGGAGCGGAGGTGAGCTGCGGTGGTGGGGGGCGCGGGGAGGGCCGCAGGAAGTAACGGGGGGTAGAGGAACTGCTCCCCCCCAGCTTACCTCCACCTCCTCCCCCAAGCGCACCCCCGCTCCGCTTCAGCCCTTGCCTGGGAGGGAGGGGTAGGAGGGGAAATGCAGCGCGTCCTGGGGAGGAGGCAGGGCTGGGGATTTGGGGGAAGGGGTTGGAATGGGGTGGGGAAGGGGCAGAGCCAGGGGGGGGCGCCGGAAATGTTTTTTGCTTGGGGCAGCAAAAAACTTGGAGCCGGCCCTGCAGTTTGGGGTGCTCTATAACCTGTTGTGTTTGTGTGTGCTTGAGACTAAACAAGGGGAATACTGGAGACTAATAAAGTACTGGCTTTAAAGTAAAAGCACACGGTTTTGATTTTTTGTATCAGCCATATAGCAGATGGAAGCGGCATCACCCTTTGTTTGTCCTGCAACCACCTCACATAGATTAAAGTTACTGAGACCTTTGGGTTCAGGGAACTCTGGGTAACACCCCAGCAGTAAGGGGATCAGTAAAATTCCCTCTGTTATACAATGTCCATTTCTGGGGAGTATCTGTTATTTTGCACTAAGGCCAACTCCTGGGAGAGAGCCAGATACACAGGCGGGAGGCACCCCAATATCAGCCCCTGCTCGGCTCTGTGCAGCAGATCAGGAGGGAGGCTTCTGGTCCCAAGCAACTTGGCTAGCAGGGGCTCCATGGCAAGGCAGCAGGGATGACCAGCATCTTCCCTCTTGCTGCAAACATCACCCAAATGTGGTATGAAGCTGGGGAGGGGGTGCCCAAACCACCCTCCCTAAATGGCATCCCTGAGTTGTGATTAAGGCATTTGAGTTTGTGGGTCCCAGATTAGATCAAGTCAATTTGTACAGACAGAAGAGAGCTTTCCCCTCAGGGAGGCACCTGCACTGGATTGTTCCTCTTATTGTTAGGTCCTGGTGTGACTGCCTCCCCAGTCATAGGCACCAAGTTTCTAATCTGCCAGAGGGTGCTCCCCCTGGCTCCGCCCAGCCCCTCCACCCCTCTTCCCACCCCCACTCAGCCCCCGCTCCACCTCTTCCCACACTGCCTCATCCAGTTCCACCCCTTCCCCAAAGCGTGCTGCGTCCTCGCTGCTCTCCTCTTCCCCCCAGCACCTCCAGATGCCACGAAACAGCTGATCCGTAGTAGGTGCTCGAAGGGAGTGAGGGAAGGACAGGGAGGCACTGATTGGCATGGCCCACTGGCAGGCAGGAGGCGCTGGGGGAAGGGAAAGGCATTGATGGGGGGCTGCCGATGGGTGCTAAGCACCCACTATTTTTTCCCCATGGGTGCTCCAGGGCTGGAGCACCCATGGAGTTGGCACCTATGCCCCCCAGCCCCGGTGTGACTGCCCCCCCTTAGGGTTGCCAATTTTGGTTAGACATATTCCTGGAGGTTTTATCACATGACATAATCTTTAATGAAAAATTAATTTTTAATTCCTGGAGACTCCAGGGCAATCCTAGAGGGTTGGCAACACTACCTCACCTGGGCACAGGACATCCTCCTAGCCCCCATGTGACTGGCCCCTCAGGCACAGGATGACCCCCAGCGCTGGTGCAACCGCTCCCAGCTTCACCCCACACAGGACACCACCAATGTTCCCTCTAATTTTTCCCATGAATATGTGGAATGAATTTTGTTATGTGCACCAATATGGAGGTGATGGGTGACACATCACCTCCATATTGGTGCACATAACAAAATACATGTGGTGTGGGAGGGGGCTCAGGGCTAGGGCAGAGGGTTTGGAGTGCAGGGGTGTGAGGGCTCAGGCTGGGGGTGTGGGCTCTGGGGTGGGGTTCAGGGCTGCGGCAGAGGGTTGGGGTGTGTGTGTGTGTGGTGGGGGTGGGGGGGTGAGGGCTCCAGCTGGGGGTATGGGCTCTGGGGTGGGGTTCAGGGCTGCGGCAGAGGGTTGGGGTGTGTGTGTGTGTGTGGGGGGGGGGGGGTGAGGGCTCCAGCTGGGGGTATGGGCTCTGGGGTGGGGCTGGAGGAGTTTGGGGTGAAGGAGGCGGCTCTGGGGCACGGAGGCGAGAGGACTTCTCCCAGCTCGCTCTCCCTGCAGCAGCACCTGGGCTGGGCAGGGGTAGGGAGGGGAGAGGCACCCCCGGGCTGGGCGGGCACAGTTGCCAACTTTCACACAGTAAATAAGCACCCCAACTTTCACAGGAAGCCAAACATCAGCTTAATCCCATTTCAAAACAAGCCAATCCCTAAGAACCCCAACCCGCTATGTCACTAGATCCCCCGGCCTGCAGTCTGGGGCTGTGGTGGGCCCACTGGGCACCCCTGCGCCTGCTTGCCAGGAGCGGAGCAAAAAGAAGGCCCAAGCTACAAGCCAAAAACTAGCCCACAAGCAACTCAAGGCAAAGGAAGCCCAACTTCGGCGTTTTTTCACGGCTTTGGCGTGTCTGCGGGCGGGGTCCCTGCATGGCGCTAAATGGGCTGCTCTGCAACCGCCCGGCGCCCAGCTGCCAGGGGATCTAGGACACCGCCCTGCTCGCTGGGCCCTGGGTATGGGCAGCCCATTGTGCGGGCTGCAGTCTCCACGCGCCCCTCTGTGCAGTGCATTGTGCGGGCTGGAGTGTCCACGCGCCCCTCTGCGCAGTGCATTGTGGGGGCTGTAGTCTCCACGCGCCCCTCTGTGCAGTGCATTGTGCGGGCTGGAGTCTCCACGCGCCCCTCTGTGCAGTGCATTGTGGGGGCTGTAGTGTCCACGCGCCCCTCTGTGCAGTGCATTGTGGGGGCTGTAGTTGCACCACGCGGTGAATTGCGGGGGCTGTAGTCTTCTTGCGCGCGCCCCCCCCCCCCGCGGTGCATGGTGGGGGCTGTAGTTTCCCTACGCGGGCAGGCTGTACTCCGTCCCCTAGCGCGTGGCGCAGCGCCGGTCCGGGCTCCGCGTGACTCTGCAGCCCGGTCCGTGCGCTCCGGGCTTTGTCCCCAGGCTGGGCGGGGGCTGGGACGGACCGGGCCGCGCCTCGGGTGAGGAGCCCCGCAGCAGCCCAGGTACGGCGCGGAGGGATGGCCCAGGGGCTTTGCGCGATGCCCCGGTACCGCGGGCTGCAGCCCGGGCAGGTGCGCGGGGCCGAGGCAGCCTTGGCCGGGCAGAGCGGTGCGGGGCTCGCCCCGGGCTGTGCATGGAGGGACAGTGCGTGCAAATGGAAACGGTGAGGGTGCGGCGCCCGCTCCGCGCCCCGGGCCGGAAAGGCGGCAGGGCAGCCCCCAGCGCAGCGCTGGGAGCGCGGGGCCGCGCGGAGTCAGGGGGCGCTGGTCGGACCGGCGGGGAGCCGGCCCCGGCCCCGTGTGTTTTATGCCGAGCGGTTGTTCAGCGGAGATCTGCTGAACCCCGGCTAACCCCGAACGAGCTGCAGCCGTTCGCTTTGGCTGGTATCGGCCCAATTTTCTATAGCACTCTTAATAAAATACCGTCACAAGTTCCCTCCAAAAATCCAACCCCTGGTAAATCTGAAATCCCAAAGTGTCCGTATTGGAAACTTGTGAGAGGGAAAGCGGGGATTTAGAAGGGAAACTCTTCATCTTTTGCCAACTGATCTAATGAGAAGAAATATGAGATGGACCGAGAATCCTCTGGGTTTAAAATGTGATCCTCTGCAAAAATCAATAATCTGCTTCATTCCAGTGTTTGTTGTTGCAGTTATTAAAAAAAAAACCCTCAAACAAACGACCTCCCTTTTCTTTTCCAAGATCCTTACCATTTCACTTTTGGGTTTTGGATGCATTTTAGCAGCAATTCCCCGAATGAGCCCCATATTCTCTAGAGCAGGGGCTCTCAAACTTTTGTATAGGTGACCCCTTTCACATAGCAAGCCTCTGAATGCGACCTCCCCTTATAAATTAAAAACACTTTTAAATAGATTTAATACAATTATAAATGCTGGAGGCAAAGCAGGGTTTGGGGGTGGAGCCTAACAGTTCGTGACCCCCCCCCCCATGTAATAACCTGGTGACCCCCAGTTTGAGAACCCCTGCTCTAGAACATTACTCTGCACTGATTTTATTATTGCAAGTTTCTGACCCTTGCCATCCCTGTTTCCATTTCTACATTTCCCACTTGGCATCCATTGGATTGTTTCCAGTGTTTGCACTGGAGCAGATGTCAGTTTGATTAACCGAGGACAGTTCTTTGTGCACCCACATTGTGGAGCTCAGCCAAGCTCTGGGAGTGGGGTTTTACTTGGTGCAAGCATTAAGCAACTTTCTCACTCCGGGGTGTGAAAAACACCCCCCAGCACAGCAAGTTGCAGCGCTGTAAAGCGCCCATGTAAACAGTGCCCCAGCGCTGGGAGCCGCGCCCCTCGTTGAAGTGGTTTTTTTAAGAGCACTGGAAGAGTAATTTTCCCTCTCTTGATATTCATCCCTTCTTGTCAACTGTTGAGAATAGGCCACTTCCACCCTTAATTGAATTGGTTGGTAAGGCAACTCCCATCTTTTCATGTGCTGTGTATATATATACTGCTTACTGTATTTTTCACTCCATGCATCTGATGAAGTGGATTTTAGCCCACGAAAGCTTATGCCCAGATAAACTTGTTACTCTCCAAGGCAGGGGCAGGCAAACTTTTTGGCCTGAGGGCCGCATTGGGTTTAGGAAATTGTATGGCAGGCCGGTTAAGGGTGGGGGTCATGGCCCAGCCCCGCACCCAACCCCCCCCTCCCCGGGACTCCTGCCCCATCCACCTCCCCACCCCCGTTCCCTGATGGCCCCCCCCGGGACCCCTGCCCCATCCACCCCCTCCCACTCCCGGTCCTCTGACCACCCCCAGAACCACTGCCCCTGACTGCCCCCCTGTTCCCTGCCCTCTG